CGGCTGAATAACCACACGTGAAAAAAAAAAACCCTGGACTCACCCCATCCACATATTGTCAATATCACAGCCACCTTATGCAGCATATACAGTATGCAGTTGCATGTGTGCTTATATCTATATTTTATATTTTATATTGCATTCTGTACTGTGTACAGTTCTTTTTCTGAAACATTTATTTTGTGCATGCAATACTTTGTTTTTCTTTGCTACCCCCCGCCCCCCTTCAATTTTTGCTGCTGTGGATTGCAAATTTCTCAGATGTGGGACAAATAAAGGTTTTCTTATCTTTTTCTTATCTTATGCACTATGAGGAAGACGTGCTAACCACTCAAACACCGTGCCACCATTAATAACTATATGTAACTAACTGTATGTAACCTACTGTGTGTGTGTGTGTGTGTGTGTGTGTGTGTGTGTGTGTGTGTCTGTCCACCGTTGTCTGGTGTCTCTGAGGTTGTTACTCATCAAGCAGATTGCACAAATTCATGTTTTGAACCTTCTTGTTGCTGAGTCAGACGGGCTAAACGATGTATTATTTGAGGGCCTTCATTTATTTAATACAGTGTTCCCTCACTTATCGCGGTTAATGCGGACCGGGACCCTGCCGCGATAAGTGAAAAACCGTGATGGAGCGTTGGCTCCCCCCTTACGAATTTTTGTGTAAGTGTATGTGGGTACCAGCATGTTTAAAATAAGTAAACAGTATTTATACTTTACATAATTGACACAAAGACTACAGCAGTACATATATTTACTTCAATCTTCAATTATAAATCCTCATACAGTCAGTAACATTCAGCAGCATTGCCTTCTGAGAGATACTTGAGTTACTCTCACTTTACGCCTCTCTGACAGTGTAGCCGCCGTTAGCCTCCAGCTAGCTGGCCAGTTATCCCCGCGCAGCCGATGCGTTGATGATAAGACAATTAATCGGGCTTGATGAGGAGGAGGCAAAGAGAGACGTGCTGCATTTTATCAGATAAGACCAATCTCCCCCTTTCTTTCTCTCTCACTCGTGCTCTCTCTCTCTCTCTCTCTCTCTCTCAGTCTCTCCCCCCTGCTGGCACGTAGCAAACAACAGTGTGACTAGACACTGATCAGAGTCAACCACGTGACAAGGCACTAATCAGATAGTTAATGACAAGACACAAAGGAAGGTGCTGGGTGGGGCTGCAAAAATGCCCAGCCAATCAGCTCACGGGTTGAATCCACTCGTGCTGTCACTGGTCAACCTCTCACCGGGAACCAATCATGCTTACAGCAATGTAAAAAACCTCTGAGTCATTCTGCATTTTTTTTTCTGAATACAGTACTTTGGAAAAAAGAAAACACGATGTAGTGAAGCCGCGATAAATGAAACGCGATACAGCGAGGGATCACTGTAGTTGTTTTACTCTTGTATTTCTGGTTTTGTTTTATTACAGAAGAACTGAAAGACTGCCTTGTGGGAGACTCTGTCAATAAGATCTTAAACCTGACTAATCGTGATATCCCAGTGAGCTGGGAGAATGAAATCAAATTGTGGACGTTCCTGGAGACCAGAGTCACTCTGCTGCTCAAGAACTACAAGACTACAGCCGAGGTTTTTTGATTGGATTGTTTAAATTTCTAATGCCATGTACCTTCACATTCGAATGCCCGTGTCTGTTGATCACTTCCGCATTGTGTGTTTCAGGAGGACAGTGTCATGCTACAGCAACCCAATCTATCGCCTCACGCTCGGGCGGCGATCCAGCTCAGACTCGCTGAAAAGCAGATCCTGCTGAAATCGCTGGCCAGTGGACAAGCCAAACATGTGCATCTCGAAAAAAAAATGGCAGAGGGCATGCCTTTGCCTCGCTGTGACAATGGTGGCATGGCGTCATCTGAGAATACTAATCGCATACCTTCCGATCATGTTGCACAAGGGCAAGTAGTTTGAGCTGGACAGGTACTGAATGTCTGAATGGAGGGACTGTGTACATGATGGAGATGGAGGCTAATCGATGCCTAGGGCAAGAATAGAGAATCTGCAAAGCAATAATGATTTCACTTCACAACTTGTGACCCAAGAGGACAAAAAAGATATAAAAAAAATAAATAAACGGAAGATGTGGAAGGTAAATCTAACTTTTATCGAAACCATCAAATATGTCACAGCCAACATTGAATGAATAAATTCCACTTCGCTGGCACGGTTCATGCTATTTATTTAGCTCGAAATTGATTTTGTGTCAGGTCAATGACTCCAAAATATTGACTCTCAGTCAATAAAAATAAGTTTGACATCTGTTGTCGTTTTACTTTTTAATTGTGGGTTTTCGGCAGCAGAGTGTGTGAGTGGTTTGCATACACGTTACAATTGCACACCCGGGACCCGAATGACCTTAGAACAGGGGTTTCAAACTCGGGGGCCCTGGAGCCGTTTGTGGCCCGCAGGAATATATCTTTGCAATTTGACAAAGTTTAATGTTGGTGCTGTCCCCACCTCTTTTTGACATGTCGTTGCCCTGCAATTTATGTGTGTGTCTTTTTGGGGGGTTTGTGTGTTTTTTTTTTCATGTATGGGCTATCATAGCTGAGGCCCATGACAGCTTTCGGCGGAATGTAATTCTTAAGTGACAGTGGATGACAAAGGTACCCTTCAACCAGTCACAATCTTGTCTTTTTAAAAAAATAAATAAAAAAGCTTCCATGAAGAGAAAAGTCGTCGACAAAAACAGCCAATTTCAAGAAAAACAGGAGACAGAATGTCCTTTTGCCTATGAACTCATATTTTGGGCGAGTGTGAAATGAACGTCGTGTATTTCACCAGGATGAACGTTTGGGGCAGTGCGCTCATGGACAGCTTTTGAACGACTTTTTTTCCTCGATTTTGGCAGGTTTTGTTTGTCTTGCAGGAGAAAACCTGGCTATTCTCATGGTAAACGAGCCTTCATATGAAGGGGGATAATGGCCTTGCGACTCAAATTTGAAGCGGCATTTTAAAATAGTTCACGCAAGCTGTGATATGAAGATGGGCAGCGAGGAGGCTTGCCGAATGTTCAGTGGGAGGTCATTCCAGAGAGAGGGACCAGCAACAGAAAAGGCTCGATCACCTCTGAGCCTCAGTTTAGTTCTTGGTACTTCTAATAATGTGTGGTCCGCAGACCTGAGGCGCCGGGCAGGTGTGTAGGGGCGGATGAGCTCAGAGAGGTAAGGTGGCGCGAGGTCATTTAGAGATTTGAAAACAAACAAGAGGATCTTGAAAATAACTCTAAAATGTGAGCCAGTGAAGGGATGCCAGAGTCGAAGTTATGTGCTCCCTCTTACGAGTACCGGTCAAGAGTCTTTATTACCGATTTGCTTTACTGTTTGTTGTATATGTTAAAATTGCTCCATGTACAGCAGTTTGTATGCAGCGATGGCTGTTTGAAAGTGCTCTATAAATACAGTTGAGTTGAGGATGATTCTGCACTTTCCAGGCTACAAAAGTACGGCCTTGCCTCCCTGTGACAGGTATCCCAGTAAAGTAGGCAATGATTTTAATTTTACAAACTCAGGGATCTACCTGCCTTGTATCTGGTTTAATTTTCTGATTCGTTCATGTTAGGGTCTGTTATAGTCATTGCGCAACATGGTATGCATGTGTGCGTGGGCATACATATGCACCCATGCATGGATGTATGCGTTGGCTGCTTGAAAAGTAGATAGGTTGGGCACTCCTGGTATATTATTTGTTCTTTAATCTCGAGGGTGGGGGGGCTTAATTCCAAAAGACAGGAAAAAATAATATTCCGAAAAACAAAAAAAATAATTAAACTACACTGAAACAGACCCCCAAAAAACTTAGAGTCCACCCCTCCCAATTGAATGCAATACTCTTCTGCAGGCGGAGGATTTAAAAATGTGAGACCGAAAGTCCTTTTGCTTTGAGTGGAATTTTTGCATCGTCAAAATTCTACATTTAGACATCAAACTCTAAATTGATCAAAGTAAAATGAATTTTAAGTGGTTTGTGTACTTTTACAAAAGAATAATGTCTAAGGTGAATAATGGTGTTAGGGTGGTTCTGTTTGTGACCAACAGGTGGCACTATAGGGCTCTTACTGCAGTGGCACACCTGTTGCTCATTGGATTAGTTAGTTTTTCTGTAAAAAGGACTCCCTGCCCGACTAGTTGGTGTCGGGTCATTGTGTTTGTCATTGTTTGTGTCTGCCTTAGTTTGTATTCTTGGGAAATACATCTTGTCCACCTTGCTCCTCCCTCCTACCTGCTATTTGGGGTCCACCACCACCACCGCTCTTAACAAATGGTGGATATGGACTGAGTTGGAATTATTTCAGTCATCTGCTGCACCAAATCAACAGATGTGACACTGTAGTTTTCATTTTTTTGTGTTTCAGAAAGGAAAGCCAACCCCTATTTGACAAAGCATGTATTCTCAATGTTGACATGCTGACAGTATTGCTATCATTTTGCGAAAAACTCCTGTATACAGTCCAAATTACACCTTCTTGAGCCACTTACAAATAAAAACTATTTTGTGTCAATGGCAATAAAATTCCAGTTTTATTCAAATGTACTTTTGATTGAAATAATTTCAAGAAACCTCTGAAAAATATATTTTTTGAAAAAGGTATAAGGTAAATCCTGGACGTTCTCGGTTACTGCAACAAAGGTTGCCAGTGGAAGACCAGGGCACATCGGCTTCAAAAACGTGTTAGGGGTTGTTCTTTATCAAATACTCCGCCTGAAATGATACAGAGAAAAAAAAATCAAAATTTCAAGGCGAAAAAAAAAAATTAAAATAATACAGGAAAAGTCATTTTATTATCATTACCAAGAAATCAATTGGATCATCTGGCCATACTGAGCCACATGCAATCAAGCCCTGAGACACAGTGGTGATGATGTGCTGCGTTAAGTAGGTTTTCATTGGCACCGACAGAACCTCCAATTGCTGCACTTCCCATTGCCTCTTCTCCTCTAAAGTCTGAGTCTTTGAGAGAAAAATAATGTATCAAATTCCAGATCAGACAAAATATCACAATCATGGATTACCTAACTAAAATTCTTTATTAAAATCAGGCAAAAAGGTCAACATGATATTTCAGAAGCGTTTAATTTTGAAATGGGACAACAGATCTGAATGAAGGTATTCTGGTTGGATACCTGGGGTGCCTTAGTATGGCCGAGACTTTGTCTGTCTGGTTGAGGGATAACTAAAATTCTTTTTTTGACTATTTTTTAAAAATCAGGCGAAAAGGTCAACATGTGATATTTCAGAGGCATTTTATTTTGAAATGGGACATCAGATCTGAATGAGAGTACAGTCCAGAGATGAAAGTCCTCCGGATTTTCCCGGAATTCCGGATTTTCAAATTTTAATGAAAATTTCTCCGGAGAATTGAGGAAAATTTGCCTAAAATTAATCCGGATATTAGTTGACAACATTGAACAAACACGCGTTTCAGTTCGTTGTTTTGCTTTCACGAGCGTAGCCATGTTGTGGCACTAACAATAGTAACAGTAAAGAGATTTTCGTCTCTTTATAAACACACTTGCTAAACCCCAGTGGAACGAATAAAAGACGCCGTGGACAAGACAGTTGTCGTAAAAAATATATTTGGACAAAAAGGAAAACACACAGATTGGCAGAAAAATGTGTACGTCCGACTTCGAGTGTCGTCTCGGCTAGCTTAGCTTAGCTGTTGTCGTGTGTGACGTCGGTTGCGACAGCGCTGATTGGTTGAAATCAAAAGACGCGCTTGTGTACATGTTCGCGCTGATGCACGCACAGCAGAGAGCAGCGGACTACTACTGCTGAGGCGCGCTTAGCTCGAGTGGCGTCGCCACAACAGTAATACCCTCGCTTCGCATTCTCATGGCCTCGCCATATCTCGGAGATTTCAAAATTTCGGCAAGAACGGATGTGTGTGTGTGTATTTTTTTCACAGTCATACCTCGGTTTTCGACCATAAAGCGTTCCAGAAGGCTGTTCGAAAACCGATTTGTCCGAAAACCGAAACCACGCTCTTTTTAAAATAAAATCTTTATTGAACACGTCTGCTCACAATGGAACACTACACGAAGAAGCGTCACTTCCTCGTCGACCCAAGGAAGCGTCACTTCCTCGTGTAAGGAAGGGGAGAGGAGTCAAGTGGCGCATTCAAGTGCGCTCAGTTTGGTCGAGAACCGATTTTCGGTCGTAATCCGAGGCATAAAAAACTCGAAATTTTTGGTCGAAAACCGATTTGGTCGAGAACGGAGACATTCGAAAACCAAGGTTTGACTGTAGTCTGGTTGGATACCAGGGGCGCTCTAGTGTCCCCCAGACCTGGTATGGTTTAAGGATAACTAAAATTATTTTTAAAAGATTTTTTTGGTTGATTGATAACTAAAATTCGTTTTTTAAGATTTTTTTAAACATTTGACAAAAGGTCAACATGTCAGATTTCAGAGGCCTTTTATTTTGAAAGGGAACATGATCTCAATGAGAGTCGTCTGGTTGGGTACGTGGGGTGTCCTATTATTTCCTGGACCTGGTTTGATTGAGGGATAACTCATTGATTTTTAAAGATTTTTTAAACATCGTGCGAAAAGTTCCGATTGTCATATTTCAGAGCCCTTTTACTTTGAAATGGAACATCAGATCTGAATGAGAATAGTCTGGTTGGGTACATGGGGTGCTCTGGTATGTCCTAGACCCGGTGTGGTTGCGGGATAACTAAGATTAATTTTTTTCAATACTTTTTTAAATATCAGGCGAAATTGATGTGGAATAACCATTGACTTCATTTTCTTCAACCTGAGAATTCTTCTTGGCGCTGTTTTATTCTCCCTGGGTAAACTCATTGTTGCCCGGCAGCTAAGAAATGTCTAGATAATATTCTAAAATCCAACCCACTGACGTGCGTCCACTACTTTGAGTGCTTTTATTTTGAAGGTGGCCAACGCTGCTTGCTGGCAGCAGATTACCGTAATGCACAGTATTCACAATCTCAGTGGCAGCTCACTTGACTTCACTTTTGCGAGTGCAGGCTGGCTTGACCGCAGTTGATTTTTACCTTTCATATCTTGAAATTTATTTCATAACAAGAGGCAATATTTTCCGGTTGAGACATTTCGCAAATTGAAAATTTCGTATGAAGAGGCGTTCGTAAGTAGAGGTACCACTGCTTCGAAAAATAGAAGGCAAGAGGGCCCGTTTAAATTTATTTATTTTTTACTTATTCAACACAGTAAAACCGATCAGTCATTCAATCAAGTCATTTTACATTGTTCAGATAACGTTACAGGTATTTTGAAAAACTGCTATGCAAGGCTTTCTGTGAAAGGGGGTCAGGCAAATAGTTCCAGTTTTGAGGTGACTTGCATCCCTTCATCCAGAATAGATCTGCACCTCTCCTGAGCAGCAGCTAAATGTCATCATCATATTCAGGACTAAACCAAAAGCAATCTGTCGTAAGATGACCATAGTTGAGCATCATTCAATATGTTCACATATTATTCCTGAGCACGAAGTAGAAAAAAATGTATCTTTATTCTCTACAGCACTGGTGTCAACCTCAAGGCCCGGGGGCCAGATGTGGCCCGCCACATCATTTTAAGTGGCCCGCGAAAGCAAATCAACGATGACAGCTTCCATGATACTTGCTGAAATGTGTACTAATTTCCTTATGTAATAAATCAGTGACATATTGAAAGCATTTTCTTGTTACCAAACCCCTCATTACATTTACTTAAACAATAGTTGAATAACGCATTACTCTTGACTTCTTAATATACTGTAGTTTCAGTTATTATGCGACAAAATTTAGTTTGACACCCCTGCTCTACAGCAATTCTCCATCCATCCATTTTCCGATTCGCTTTATCCTCACAAGAGTCGCGGGGGGGTGCTGGAGCCTATCCCAGCTGTCTTCGGGCAGTAGGCGGGGGACACCCTGAACCGGTTGTCAGCCAATCGCAGGGCACACAGAGACGAACAACCATCCGCACTCACACTCACATCTAGGGACAATTTTGAGTGTTCAATCAGCCTGCCATGCATGTTTTTGGAATGTGGGAGGAAACCAGAGTACCCAGAGAAAGCCCACGCAGGCCCGGGGAGAACATGCAAACTCCACACAGGGAGGCCAGAGGCCATGACCTCTGCACTGTGAGGTTGACGCAGTAACCACTGGACCACCGGGCCGCCCTAGTATATTTTGTCTGTAATATATTTATGTCTGTGTATTTAGCAAAGCTTTATTCTGAGGTAGTAGTCCTCATCACTCACGTAATCTCCATTTGTTCGACAGTCACAATTCTAACCCTGCGCACACCCCAACACCGCTCTTTGAAGAACATTGCAGGCAATGTCAAATGTTTCAGTATGTGCCGCGTGCCGCAAAAGAATGATGGGCAGCCTCCACCCTTTCACTTCCTGTCAAGGGAGGAACCATTTAGCTTTTTTTTTTCTTTTCTTTTCACAGGCAGAGTCTTTGGATGATCGTCTGCTTGAACTGCTTTCGTTCACCCTAAGTATGGCTTCGTGCGGCACTTGCATTAACTGCATCCTCACTCAGAGGCTTTCCCTCCTAGAGGGACGTATATCCTTGAGCTAGAGTAGTATAATGCGGTAACCGTAGATGTGGCGTACAGTTAGCGTGGGTTGTAGCCAGCCTGGTAGTCCGGTTAGTATTAACCCCAAGCAGCTTGCTAATCGCGGTGAGCCTGTTATGACGCACAGCAATGCCATTCCACCTCGATCTCCTGGCTTCTGCACTTCAGTTATTGGTGACTCCATCACCAGTCACATTAATCTTAAAATCCCAGCCACAGTGTATTCCTGGGGTCACAGCGCCCGACATTGAAGCTAACCTTAGGGATCGGGAACGCAACAGGTCTAGACACCAGCGAAAATCTAACAACACTATCTACTATGATATGGTGATACACGTCGGCTCCAATAACACAAGGATTCAATCAAAGATCACAAAGAAGAAGAACATAGAGAGTACTTAAAATGAGTTGGCATCGAGTAATTGTCAGGTTCAGCAGATTCTTCAGTGTCTGGCTATCGTTTGCAGCAAACATGTTATGATTTCGTCTAGGTTACATTTGGTTTTGTTCCCTCATGTGCCCTTTTTGTCTGCATCTGTGCTCGTCAACCGGGTCCCTTGTGTTGAACCAATCAGCTCCCCCAACCCTTTGTGTCTTGTTTAGGTGTTTCTCGTTGTCTCGTCACTTGGCTTGCGTTTAATTCCCTGCCCTTCTGTCAGTCTTTGTTGGATCATTGTAAGTGTCTGTGTGCTCCTCTCATGTTTTGTTTCTGTCATAGGTTTTTGTTACTTTGGTTCCTTGTGGTTTTGAGGACTTTGCTCAAGTACTTCAGTTCGTTTTTTTCCAGTGTACTGAGTATTGACACACTACACAAACTGTCAGCACTGTATTGATACTGTGTTAGTCACCCAATAGTGACCCCTGCAGTAGTTATAAAATCATTGCAGGTAAAGAAATTCCGTGTTTGTGTGAATGCTAAACTGAGTTGGTATGTAGCGAATTGGAGTTACAATTCAGAGTTACAATTTTTAACTTATGTAGAAATGTTTTGTTCACTGTTAAACTATATGAAATAAAAGACAAAAAAGTGATTCGTTTATGAATATTTATTGAGGAATGAAAGTTTCTGGAGTGTCTTTGTTCCAAGGTGATTTCTCCTCAAAGAAACCAGCTCCCCAGCCTAAGAAAATACTCTTTCACATGGTACAGATGGCGATGGTGAGCAGAGAGTTTTAAGTGCAAGTTGATGCAGATGTGGATATGTTTTCTGGTTCCATTTCCAATATTGTAAAGGGTCTTGGTTTCTGGGTGTGTTTGCTTCTGCCGGGTAGCGTTGGACTTCAATTATAGAGTCAGCTCTTCACTGCTTCACTTGCCTTTTGTTGACTAACAAATCCAATTTTTAAAAAAAATCTGGGATCTAACAGTGTTGCCAGTGTCATCACACTGAGTGAGATTCCATGCTGCAAATAGTGTCAGCCGATTCCTCAGGTTTTCAGCCAGATGTTGAGCAGCTGTTGATGTCACTGTTGTGGCCTGACGTTGAAGCTCGATGTGGATCATTCTCATCAAGGGAATGACCTTCGACCCAGAGACCCTTTTTTCCTCAGACAGTTCTCTTGTGGCTTGGTCAAAAGGGGCAAGAACCCTGAGCATGTCTTCAATGATCTGACATTCTTCTGGACTCAGTGGAGTGATGTCAGTTTTTAATGAGGCCAGTGACACCCAGACTGCCTCCTTCTGTTCAGTCATTCATTCAAACATTTGGTCGGTACTGTTCCATTGTGTTGGCACCTCACGTAGTAATTTATGGACCGGTGTTCCCAGCTGTTGCTGTATTTGAGTGAGCTTCTCTGTCGCAGTCACGCTCAATCGAAAGTATGTCACAAAATGTTGTGTTTTCTTGCGTATTTCCGTTATTGTTGGGATTTGATCACATAATTTTCTCACAATTAAATTCATGGAATGGATAATACAAATGGTATGCTGTATTTGCAGCATTTGAGCACATGAAACCATGTTTGCTGCTGCATCAGTGACAAGACACCTGACCTTTCCCGCTATGCCCCACTCCTCCATGAGGTTCCTTATAACCACGGCAATGTTTTCTGCAGTATGTTTCTCAGGAAAATGCTGCACTCCCAAGACTGATGATTGGAGTTCATGGCTTTCTTTGTCCACATAGTGGCCAGTAACAGCTAGATATGCCTCCACATTCATAGACGTCCACATATCAGCTGTTCAAGTAACAGCAACAGCGCTTGGTAGTCCTTTTTTTGTTTTCTCCTTTTCCTCCTCATATCTCTGGCTCACCAAGTCCTTGATGGTCTGAAAATAACCATACAAATCCCATTACACCAATAAAACATAGTTATATAGTTAGTACAAAAATATAATAACATTTCTGAAACATACCTTCCTGCTTGGTAGAGCATATGAGGGCAAAATAAGCTTCAGGAGCTCCCTGAATCCCTCATTTTCAACAAAGCTGAGTGGCTGACAGTCGTGGATGATCATGTTGACCACTGCCTCATCCACTGCTTGCTTGTTAGGAACTGCAAGCCAAAAGGAAATATCTTGTCAAAAGCTGAATAAAAGGACTGTAATTTTTACAAGTACCGTATTTTCCGCACTAAAAGGTGCACCTAAACGCCTTCCATTTACTTCAAAGCTCACAGCGCACCTTAAAATCCGATGCGCCTTGTGTATGGTCATTACAGTAATATGTCAACTCCAAAATGGTTCCTTGGTAGAGACATGCTTACAACACAGAGTTCAAACTTAAGGCGATTGGTTTCGCAGTTGAACAGGGAAATAGAGCAGCGGCAAGAGAGTTCAACGTTAACGAGTCAATGTTATAACTTGCTGCTGCTTAAGTGAACTGTGTCGCTGCTTTATTAAATAAGTTTTACTGACATCTGATCATCGCTATATAAATCAGGGTGTAGTGTAGTGTTCTGTTGGCATTTCCTTGAGCGTAGCTCTATCTAGTGGATGCATTGTAGATTGCATCTTATAACGCGGTATAATGAAAAAAAATTACAAAATAGGCCATTCATTGAAGGTACGCCTCATAATCCAGTGCGCCTTTTAGTGTGGAAAATACGGTACACAAAATACATATCAAGTAGACATCAGGTGACACAGTGGGGTGATGGTTAGCACTGTCGCCTCACAGCAAGAGGGCTGGAGGTTCGATACCAGGCCTGGGGCCTGTCTGTTTGCATGCATGTTTTTTTTAAGCGCAATTTTTAGAGAGAATTTCAACATACCTGGGGTACTCTCACGAGTATCCACCAATTCTTCATTGCCATGCCGAGCTCTATAATGCCTCTGCATTGATGAAGTGCTCTTATTGATGTAAGGTAGCTCTGTGGAGCAAAGCCGACACTTCACCTACAATAACATAAAAAGTTAATTTACCTGAAAACAATTAAAACCTCTACCCAGAACAGAGCAAAAACTAAGGTGGAGCATTGCATTCACTTGTTAAAAAATGGACACCCTATCTCATGATTTTGAGATCAGGATCTCGTAATTATGAGATAAAATGAGTAAGGCAGCTGTAAGGCTCTATATATGACTATCATATATATCATAGGTGATATATATGTATTCATATATATCACACTTGATAAACTGATAAAGTGAGTGCAATGCGCCACCGTAACAAATAGTATGTAACAGTAAACAATGCTCAAAGGAGAAAAAGATTTACCTTGTTTGTCGTCACAAGATCAAAATTATTCCACACTGGGGAAAACTTCTGAGAACGATCCATAATTTCGCAAAACTCCATCCAACAAACCCACATGTTGATACAGTTTGTTCCCTCATAAACACACTTTGGCGTGGCACATCCAAATGATAAAGTTCCTGTATCGGTCACGTGATTCTTTCTTAAAGCAATACACACACCGATACGGGGTTTAACTCTTGAGCTCTCTGCACAGTGCTGACACACCAGTGTCGCTCGTCCCATCACTACAACATGCACAGTGACGGACTGCATTCAAACACAAATCCTCTCCACGAAACATGGTGAATTCCAGATCCAAATGTAAAGGAAAGCCTCCTACCCACATCTCCCAATGTGCAGATCTCTGCCTGGCCTCCTCCACCTCCCTCTGCTCCTTATTTGCCTTGTTAACGGTCTCTGTTGGCTTAATCCCCGCTTCCTGTATCTTGTCGTTGCTTTGGCCGTAGTTTCTGGGTTTACCAACTCTTTCGCAGATTGCATGCATTAGCAGTGGATTGCCAGGTGTATTGAGACTGTTGATCCCTGTCAAGATTAACAAAGGCCACATTAAATCAGAGGAATTTGGAGGAAATTATTTTATAAGAATCGGCTGTATTTACTTGGAAATCGCATGAGAATTACAGAATGCCGTGATAATAACAGTCAACAAGAAGCTGTCAAACTCATGCTTGGAACTTTTGTAACATTGGCTATAGCTAAAACCACAAGGGTGTGGCAGAGATAGTTGTGAAGTCACGCTACATTCAAATCTCTACAATGAGAAACATGAAAACTAGCACTCTAATTCAGGAGTCCACTACATTGTTTAAAAAAAACACCACCAAATTTCAGCATGAAATGATTGAAGAGAAGCAAAAAAGTTTGACATTATCTAGTGTCCGATAATACTCCGCAGTGTTATGAGATTGAATGGCAGTTGCTGGTCATTCAAGGAGGGGAAGCAAAATTGTTTCCAGCCTCCATCATGAATGTGTATTTTTGGTTATATATAATTCCAGCCTCCAATATTATTGCGGGGAGAAGCTCTGGGCTGCCGTTGCTTGGGGAAAGACCAGGGGCGTCATTTTTGTCGCAGGCCACATTGTACCATAATTTCCAGACTATAAGCCGCAACTTTTCTCACAAGCTTTCTACGCTGCGTCTTATTTAATAAAGCGGCCTATGTAACGATTTTTCTATTGGCCACCAGGGAGCGCTCAAGCATAAAAGGAAGAGTGAGACATGTTGACATACACACAATATCATGTGACAAGGTGGGCACCTGCGGCTTATAGACATGGTGCTGCTTATGTGTGTACAAAATATTTTTTCCTTTAAAAATGTAGTGGGTGTGGCTTATAATCATTTTCTCAGTTTAATCATTAAATATCTAGTCTTTGTAGTGTATTCAATCAAACATAGGTTGAACATGATTTGCGAATCATTGTATTTTATTTATTTTTTTATTTATGTTTAACACAACATCCCAACATCATTGCCAATGATACCATGATATCCTGTCCTATCCTTGACAGACGAAAACTAATTGAACTTGATTTCATGATGGCAAGGATCAAACATGGCAGCTAACTAGTGGCAATTTATTGACAAAAAGCCAAAATAAATTGTGACAACACGGGTGCACCTCAGTGCATGGCTTAGAAAGTTTTGAAAAAGACTGTTACCAATTAATAATGGGTTGATATCCAATTCCTCAAAGTAATTGACCACACTTTCTCCTTCCATGTTTTTCTCTCTGTATTTGGCCAAAAGTTGCAGGAAATGCTCTTGCTCATATTTGTGTTCCTGCACCAACTTCTCAGAGATGTTAATCACTCGATCTTTCAGATAGGAATCTAATGCATCAAGCCACACAACAAACTCTGCAAAACAGACACACAAAGGCAAATACGCAGGGGAAAAATGGAAATATTAGTAAATCACTTCATAGATTCACTATTTACAGTATGTGCACACTGTAGATGTGTTTGCGTGTGCGTGTGTGTGTGTGTGTGTGTGTGTGTATATATATATATGGGCGGCCCAGTAGTCGAGTGGTTCGCACGTTAACTTAATAACCGGGTTCAATTCCGGCTCCGGCCTTCCTGTTTGGAGTTTGCATGTTCTCCCGGTGCTTGCGTGGGTTTTTTCCGGGTACTTCAGTTTCCTCCCACATTCCAAAAACATGCATTGCAGGCTGATTGAACACTCCAAATTGTCCCTAGGTGTGAGTGTGAGCGCGAATGGCTGTTCATTTCGGTGTGCTCTGCGATTGTCTGGCAACCGGTTCAGGGTGTCCCCCACCTACTGCCCGAAGACAGCTGGGATAGGCTCCAGCACCCCTACGAACCTAGTGAGGATAAAGCGGTTTGGAAAATGGATATATATATATATATATATGTGTGTGTGTGTGTATATGTATATATACATATATGTATATGTATATGTATATGTGTGTGTATGTATATGTATATATACATATATATGCAGGGGCGCACAAAATTGTGGTGTGGTTTTCAAATGGGATGCTAGTTGGTGGTTATTTGTTTCACTTGACCACAAGGAATCTCCATCATGTATAACATCTGGCCGTCCACAGTCTCTGAGCGAACCTCGCAAATTTTATGAGGTGAAAATAAAATGCACAGATGTGCTTCTTTTACTTTGATGTGCATGTCAGCAGTGCAAAGGCAAGAGCAATGACTTGTCTTCGATGTTGCCAACTTATATTTGATATAACGGGCTTCATTCATGAATAAATGCGTATGAAAGTTAATACTCTGCGCACAAGTTGAGCGTATAGGCAAAATGATGATCAGATCCATGACACATGTGTACCGGCCAGTTTTCATGGCACCACTGTGCAAATGTTGAATCAAATAACTCATTCTGAATGAAATCTTGTGCACGCGGAGCTGTCATTTTTATAACCTTTGTCCCTAATTCCCTATAAAAGTTGCAGGAGAGGTTAAACACGTTCAGAACTTTGCCTAAAATCTTGAGCCTACTTTAAAACGGTGCGTTTAATCAGAAAGCTTGCTGAACAAAAAAACTGACAACATATAATATCCGACGATATCCATTCTGAATTCATTTAATATCCACCTCATTTTAACTTATTTTTAATAAGCCAACCACTTAGCGCCACCCATGGGTTAACTCGAGAAATTCATTATTTTTATTTACTTTTTACTTTTTAATGTATTTGACGCACAGGGTCTGATGGAATTAATCACAAAGTATCAGGCTTGGGAAGGATTGTATTGCCATCATAGCCAGTACTGATAGTGTTGCACACCAAAGCTAAAACCATTGAATACATGAAAAAAATAGATTGGATGTTGTACCACAAGGAACAAATGGTTGGACGATGGGTGTAAACTGCAGAAAATGTCATTCGTGTGACTGCAACAACTAAAATGTTGTGTGTGTGTGTGTGGGTGTGTGTGTGTGTGTAAAACCATTGAATACATGAAAAAAATAGATTGGATGTTGTACCACAAGGAACAAATGGTTGGACGATGGGTGTAAACTGCAGAAAATGTCATGCGTGTGACTGCAACAACTAAAAAGTTGTGTGTGTGTGTGTGTGTGTGTGTGTGTGGGTGTGTGGGTGTGTGTGTGTCTTTCACAGTTTATTATGCGGAAATTCCTAATTTAAAATTATTTTTGTTCTTATGAATCAAGGTAGTTTGACATTGTGCATCTTGGGCAAAGGATGCGTGTTTGACGGGTTTTTTTCCAATGGCAGCTCAGTTCTTATTTGTGCGGTTGCATGCTCTGAAGAGGTTCAACATTTGTTTGCAGAATACTCAGAATTGATGAATCAAAGATTTGTGATGCAAAAATATGTGCATACCTATGGTTCCAGAATGATCCTGGTACGTTGTCACTGTATTAGAGACTTTTCTTAACTTTCAAGCAACAATTAAAACAAAAAAATCAATACTGGCAATGCCAACTGTGCTCCTCATGTTAGCATCAATCTCATTTCCTGAGATAGTGGAGGGAAGAGAGGATTTTGCCGCATGTGTGTGTTTGTGCCCATTAACTTCTGTCCGGAGCAGTTTTTGGGGGAAGAGGGGGTTTGGATAGGATAGAAGCACGCGAAATGATACGCACCATATTGTTCAACATTCCATACATGGTGAGAGTTGTTTTTGTAAAAAATCAGTGATATAAGTCACTGCCCAAAATGTTCTGAGTTCATTCACTGCAATGGGGTATTGTTCCAGTCATGACGCCAGAATGAATCATCCAGACGTTTTTGTTGTTGTACTCACACATATTTTCTGCAGCTGACTGATTCCATGGTTTGTTTTTCCGAGACTAAAAATACATCCAGAGGCTATATCAAGACAGAGGACAGTATATTTGACAGAATTAGCAAGCAGAAGAGTAAGGGTAGTTGAGGGGGCACAAGAGCAGAGCAAAAAAAGCATCCGCCTCTTTCGAGAGCCAGGCAGAAAAAAATAAAAATAAAATAATAATTTCATTTCCTTTGAAATTGTGCCTAATTTTTGGCATTTTATACATGTCATATTTGATAAAAGTAGCTTTTAATCTAATGTACTTCATCAAAAAAAAAAATCTAATTCCAATGTGTCAGTATACCAATTTGCCAATACACAACTTTGCCAGTGCCCTTCACAGCTGCTTGCAGGTCTAGTTATTAAGGCCCGAGCAGCGACCGCTTTGAGGCCCGTATTGTTTTTCGAGGCATCATTCTTATTGGGGTGTGAGCAGATACCGCTGTGTGGTCCCTATTGTTTTTATCTTCAGGAGCTCTGCTGTATTTTGTCATTTATTTTTGGCAAATATGTTGTCCTTCGTGTGTGGACTGTTCGCCGCGTTCTGGCCATGACATTTGTCGAGTGAGAGAGGTCTGTGGTTGATGGTTGCACCTTCTCGGCAGCATGTGTGTATCAGCATCGATTTTGATGGGGGACTGTCAGCGCTATTTGATTGTCGCCAGTTAAGCGCCTCCGCGCTTGTGTTTTTTGTGCCTGTGATGGGGAGCATTTTTCACAGCCCCGTTTTCGTTCAGCGGAGATGTCAGCGCTCTTGAACAGTTGTTGAGCGTTGGTGAGGCCGGATGGGTGGCTGGTGGAGCTAAACATGAGGAGAGAGGAGCATCGGCACCGGGCACAAATGTGTAGTTGGAACTGTGTTTCGGAGCTTGGAATTGAAGCAGATGTTGGCGGGGCAAGAGAACTAAACCAATTTCACCAACAAGGTGTACGTCAAAATAATTAAGATTGTATAATTGCACGTTTTTATGTTCAGGTGTGTTATTTTATGTTAAATGTTCTGTGAAGCGCTTTGTTACAGCTGCAGCTGTTGTGAAAACGCCAGATAAATAAAGATGTATTGTTTTATATTTAAGCAACTATATTTTCCCACTTGAATGACTAGTTCTTGGTGGTCAAACCTGGTATTATCTTCTTGTTGCAAAGGGAGGTCAACGAAGCTTTCTCGTCTGGTTCATGCTCATCAACTAAAAAAGAAATACAGTTAGATACATATTTTATGAACTGTGAAAATGTGTGCGTGTGTGTGTGTGTGTGTGTGTGTGTGTGTGTTATAATGATCTTTGACTTTGTTACCATGGAAAAGCTCTTTCGCTTGGTCATATGTCTTTGGAAATCCATCCAGTACAAACCCCTGGTTTTTGCAGGGGTTAGACGTTAGTTTGTCCGTCATCACCTTCACCAATAACTGATCATCTAAAAAACCTAAGGGGCAAAGATAGAATTTACAAAATAAAAATCTCATTTTAAAACTCTGGCGAGCATATGAGTCAATGACGTAAAAGTTAAAATCCACAAAGCAACTGCAGCCACTAATAGCACCTTTAAATTATGCTTCATTTGCACCCGCATTTGCACCATCTTAATGTCCTCTTCACAAAGGATATTGCGCGAATGACATACGAGCGCAAACATGGCTACAAAGTTTGATAGCTAAGTTGAGTTTGCACCTGTTTAATCCTCTGATTGCACAAATGGCAAAGAATAAAAGCAGGCTTTACACCAAGAACACCGTGGGAGAACAATAACAGGAAGAAAAAAAAGATATCCTTTATTGTCCCACACTGGGGAAATTTACAGTCTACAGCAGCAAAATTGGGGGGGGGGAAGAAGAAAAAAAAGTGTTTGCATGCACAAAATAAATGTTTCAGAAGAGAGCTGTACACAGTTCAATATAAGTGCAGTATAAATATATATATAAAAAAAAAATCCTCGTCTCACCCCTCGGGTGGTGTCCATCCCTCATTCAGCTCGGGTCCTCTACCAGAGGCCAGGAAGCTTGAGGGTTCTGCGCAGTATCCTTGCTGTTCCCAGCACTGCACATTTCTGGACTGAGATGTCCGATGTTGTTCCCGGGATCTGTTGCAACCACTCATCTAGTT